GATCCCACACTCCCTCACCCCCCCCCCCTACACACACACACACATACAATACCTCCTTACCCTCCTCCCGGACATCTCATACTCCTCACTACCCCCACCCCACATGAATAGGGTAAAAAACATTTAACTGCATTTCTTATTCGTAGACCCAGGCACACTGATACCTGGCGACACTACACCGAAATGGGGAAGCAGCCTAGACATTACATTGAATTATAGAATCGGGAGTGAAATTACACACCAGAGAATGGCGCTGACACACAACCACTCATAATTGACTCCCTTCAGTAAGGGAGTACCGACAAGTTGGCCCAGCCACAAAGAAGGGCAGATAAAGATAATGGAAACTCGGAACTCAGACAGAGTACACCTCACACCATGCCCAGGCCATCACAAAATATAAAACCCCCAATCCCCTCCCCCCCACCACCTCTAGTCTCATGCAACACTGGTATCATGCCACGACACATGCATGTTACTCTGAAGGAATCACCACACAAACCCACATACAATCTCTCCCTACCAACATTGACAAATTTTGCTATACTCGCAGTTCCATGATTATCAATAGACATACATGTCCACACGGACTCATATAATATCTACACAAAGCAATCATTTGTATGAAACAATTACGATCTCGTTTATTGTCACAGGATGTAAACTGATACTGGAATAGGATTACTATGGTATACAAATATGTTCAGAATACGTATAAGCACTGTTTCTATGTTATTACTATTTTACGTCATTATGTTGAGATGGGCCTGCGTGCCCAAAATGTGCTCCACTTTCTTGATAAAAATAAAATAAACAGATTAACAAAAAAAAAAAAAAAAAAATTAAAAGGCATGAATATTATTTGTTTTAAACTTTTTGTAGTAATTCATGGAAATTTTTCTTTTCTGTCTTATTAGTGATTTTGCCTTTTAGCGGAAAGCAGTAAGGTGAATAGTTAGTGTCACCTAAGAAGGTTACCTTGCATTGGCAGGTGACATTACTCTATAGTGTTAGGAACACAACTCTTTATTCTTAACACTGTAGTGCCCTTTGGTCTCCCCTCCTTTTTTTTTTTTTCCATTCTTTATTTTCAGGTTTTCAAATATTGTACAATACAACAATTAGACCGGTGGTTACAATATCGGAAGTGTGGTCTACCCTCCTTTGAGGCCTTCCTCTGACACATAAAGGGTTAAAACCCATTTATGTACTCACTCGATTACAGCGCCAATATCCCTTGGCACTGGGTCACGCTCTGCCTTCTCTGACGTGCTCCAAAGGGGGGGCTAATGTGCATGCGTATCATGCGCCGCTAGAGCATTGCCTCAATGTTTTTGTACAAGGATTTCACTGATGCTGGATGTCCTCATGCAGAGCGTCAGTTAGTGCACCCAGTGTCCGATAAATTCCCGGAAGCGCCTATAGTGGCTGTCTGGTAGACAGTCACAACAGGCTGTCTTAGTGCTGCAATGTAAACATTGCTGTTTCTCAGAAACTGAATTTTACATTGCAGGACTAAGTGGGACAGGTCAGCTAGAAGATCTTTTAACCCCTTAAGGACCAGACTGTTTTTGCGATGTTGTACATTTTCGACCAGGCCTCTTTTTACACTTTTGTGGTGTTTGTGTTTAGCTGTAATTTTCTGCTCTCTCATTTACTGTTCCCATACAAATTATATGCTGTTTTTCTCAGGACAAAAAGGGCTTTCTTTGCATACCATTATTTATATAATCTCATGTAATTTAATTTAACAAAAAATAAAAACAATGATGAAAAATTGAAAGACTTTTACTTGAAAAATATTTTACTCATCTACAAAAGCTAATGAAAAAAAATTGCTAAATAGATTCAAAATTTTGTCCTGAGTTTAAAAATACCCAGTGTCTACATGCTTTTTTGCAAGTTATAGGGCTATAAGTACAAGTAGGATATTGCGGTTTCAAAACATACATTTTTAAAATTCATCAATAGTGACATTGTAACACTATGATCTGTCATAAATCTCTGAATCACACCCCACCTGTATGGGTATGTCCAGTCTTTTTTAGTAGCCACTTAGTCACATACACTGGTCAAAGTTAGCGTTCATATTTGTTTGTGTGTGAAAAAAGTAAAAAACTAAATTGAACACTAGTGTTTGTGACCAAGTGGCTACTAAAAAAGACTGGACATACCCCATTTGCAATACCTTGAGTTGTCTTTTTTTGCAAATGGTATGCCACCATGGGGTTAATTCTCATTCCTGGGCTACCATATGCTCTCAAAGGCAACATTACCAACCTGGCAATTTTCAATGTAAAAATATTTGACCCTGTAACTTTCAAAAATGCTATAAAATCTGTACATGGGGGGTACTGTTATACTCGGGAGACTTTGCTGAACACAAATATTAGTGTTTCAAAACAGGAAAACGTATCACAATAATTATATCATCAGTAAAAGTGCTGTGTGTGAAAATTGCAAAAACAGTCACTTTCACTGACAATATAATCGCTGTGATATGTTTTACTGTTTTGAATCACTAATATTTGTGTTCAGCGAAGCCTCTCGAGTAAAGCATTACCCCCATGTACAGGTTTTAGGGTGTCATAGAAAGTTACAGGGTAAAATACAGTGCTAGCCAATTAAATTCTCTGGACTTTCAGCCTGGGTTGTCAGGCAGGTCCCTCAAATTGCAATCAATAAAATTACTTAATTATGTAAAAATATTACATAAATACGCACATAGAATTTAAATATATATGCATATTTATATAGTTGAAGTCTACGTGTATATTTATATAATTATTTACGTAATTTTGTATATGGACATATGTATATTTCATATTATTTTTATTTATTTATATATACATAGATATATATACAATTTCATTCTAAGTGTATCTTGATATAAATATATATATATATATATATATTAATATCAAAATACCGTTAGAATAAAATTTCATATAGATATCATTTTTTTACATTTTTATTATTATTTTTACATTTTTAAATTAAATTAAATTTACTTATTATTTGTATTTTATAATATATATATATACACACACAATATATATAGTTATTATATATATTATATATATATATATATATGTGTGTAATTTAATTATAAGTGTATTTAGTATGACATTATATAAATGATATATAGACACTTAGTATGACATATATATGATATACACTTAGTATGACATTATATATATATATATGATATATAGACATATATTATATATATATATATATATATATAATATATGTCTATATATCATATATATATATATATATAATGTCATACTAAGTGTATTTTTATAGTAATATATACATATATTAATATAAAAATACACTTATAATTAAATTACACACATATATAATATATAATATATAATAACTATATATATATTGTATATATATATATTATTATAAAATACAAATAATAAGTAAATTAAATAAAAATTTTTAAAAATAATAATAAAAATGTAAAAAAATTATATATCTATATGAAATTTTATTCTAACTGTATTTTGATATTAATATATATCTATATATATTGTGACGGAACGCTGGCACTCCGACTGAGTACCACCGCCAATCGATGCTCCTAGTGCTCACTGAGGATTCCAAGCACTCCAACCGACACCATCAGCACTGCAGACCCCACTTCCAGCGATGCAACTGCGCCGGGGTCTCTGCTGTCTCCACCCACCCTGGACCCAAGGCCAGGATCCAGCTTCCAGTGGGTGAACCTCTCTTTCCCCAGAGAGCAGGAACAGGAACAAGCTCTTAGCAGAACTTAGTGATCATACCCTGGGAGTATAGTGATTATAGCAATCCCCAGGGTGTATTTCTCCAATCCCCCCCAAACATGAGCCAAGGCTTAATGCTGGAACAAGACTGATTTACTGGCACACAGAACTCACAATTTATGCAACACAAAACTCCTCCTCTGGGCCAGGCTAGATAATTGAGTTTCTACAATACACAAAGCTCAATTATCTGCTGGCCAGAAATAATACAGTTTTAACAGCATATTCATAACTTCTAAAATATACATTACATTCACATAAAAAATATATATTCACAATCAATCCATTCAGGGAAACAACATATCAAAAAATGGGATAAATCAGACCAGGGGTTAAGAAGTTAGTAAAGTATCTTTTGGGGCCTGGCTGGCAGCATGGATATCTGGCCCAAACTGGTTTTACAGAGCCCTCTAGCCTGCAGACAATGGGGAAAGTAATCCAATTATCCAGGGATAGAAGCAGACTCCATTGAGCACATGTTCCCAGTAAAACACAAAAGGATACAAAAATACATAACTCCTATCCCTCTGAATTGAACGGGCCAAATCTCCCAGGGTCCATAGTCACAGGGCAAGAGGCGGGCAAGCAGTCCTCTCCAGGCACAAGTGGCGAAGGGCACTTCGTCACATATATATGTATATATATATATTTATATCAAGATACACTTATAGATATACTATATGTCTATATATCATATATATATATAATGTCATACTAAGTGTATTTTTTTTAATAACATTAAAATCTTTTATTTTTTTTATTTTACACTAGCAGAGACTGCCTCTCTGTTGAGCGATCACATGGCCCCAGGGGTCCTAATTCACCATAGGGGGACTGCCTGGGCTGCAGGCCGTCTCCCCACACCGGGAGCACCGCCGATCGACCGCTGGGGGAACGACGATCGAGTAAGTACATATGACCGTTGTGACGGTTCAGGACCGTCAGCGGTCGGCAACGCTAAAATGCCGATGATGGTCCTGAACTGTCCTCGGTCGTTAAGGGGTTAATCAATCGAAGGAAAATCAGCTGGAAGATCTTTTAACCAATCGAAGGAAAATCAGCTGGAAGA